TGCTGGACATGGCTGGAAAGACTTTTTTTTTTCCCTCCTTCCTCCTCCTCCTCCTCATTAGCTCTATGGAGCCAGGAATCGCTGTTATCTACAGCTGATTTGGAGTAGCCCCAACAGGACTTCAAAAGAGAAACAGCTGGGGCTTCTAACATTGCTTCCACTCCAATAAGTAAGTGGGGTTTCTGATCACACAGCTGTTACTTATCTTAGTTTCTCAGTGTAATCATACCAGAGTTCAGAAAGGACTGTGGCTGTAGAGGAAAAGCAGTTGAGTTGTCTCAGAGACTCCTTTGATGATCTCTGTGAAGTGCTGCTGCTATCAGTCAAGATGGGAAAGTGAACGAGAGTTTTTGATGTTTAGAGCCTGCTGATGGAAAGGTTAGTCAGAACTATTTTGGATTAAGGATACTTTCCTTTTCCATTCCCACCCCTATGGATCAGAGAATAGAAAGTAATTACAAAAGAAACCTAAAAGTGTTTAGTTGCAAAGGATGGGAGGTAATATTTTATATTGGGTGTGGTTGGTGAAGATATTTTTCTTAGTTTCTCATCTCTTAAATGGTACTAATAACTTTCTTGCTCTTTGTTTTATTTGAATTGGACGTTCTTGAGGGCAGGGAAGACCACTTCCTGTGTATATGACCAAAGCCCTTAAGATGCTGCTAAAGTCAAAACATTTCGACCATAGTGCTGGGGATGGGAAGTCAGTCCAGCTGGGCTGCCTCCCCATCCCCTGGACTAGATGAGCTGGGCTGCCTCCCTGCCCCCCCATGCGATCTAGCGTGGGGGGATGGGAAGTCAGCACAGCTGGGCTGACTCCCCATCCCCAGTGAAACATTGAAACAGCATCGAAACAGCCTTTCTGTTTTGATGGAATGGAACGGAACAACTCTTTCAAATCAAAATGAAATTTGAAATGGAATGCTGTTCTGTTGAAACATCGAAACCCAAGGTGAAATGGAACAGTGCCGTTTTGCACAGCCCTAATATCTACTACTCCCTCCAACTTAGTGTCATCTTGTAGAGGGTGCGCTCCATTCCATCTTCCAAGTCATCGATGAAGATATAGAACAAAACTGGCCTCAGGACCAACCACTGGAGCATTCCACCTGAAACCAGCTGCCAACTAGACATCAAGCCATTGAGTACTACCCTTTGAGCCTAATGAGCTAACCAGTTTTGTATCCACTCTGAAGTCCATTCATCCAACCCATACTTCCTTAGCTTGCTTGTGAGAATGTTGTGGGAGATTATATCAAAAGCCTTGCTAGGGTCAAGGTGTATTATGTCTACTGCCCTCCCTGCATCCACAGAGCCTATTGTCTTATCATAGAAGGCCATCAGGTTGTTCAGGCAGGGCTTGCCATTTGTTGAATCCATTCTGATTGTTCTAATCACCTTCTTTGCCTCCAAGTGCTTAAAAATGGGTTTCTGGAGGACCTGCTCCCCAATATTTCTAGGGACTGAGGTGAGGCTGACTGGTCTGTAGTTCCCTGGATCCTCCCTCTTCCCTTTCTTAAATATGGGCACTATATTTGCCCTTTTCCAGTCATCCGGTACCTCTCCTAATCATCATGAGTTTTCAAAGATAATGACCAGAGGCTCTGCAGTCATATCGGCCAACTCCCTCAGCACCTTCAGTTGCATCCTGTCTAGTCCTGTAGGCTTGTACACATCCAACTTCTCTAAATAGTTCCTAACCTGATCTTTCACCACTGTTGGATACTCCTCTTCTCCCCAAACTGTGCTCCCAGGTGTAGTAGTCTGGGAGCTGACCTTGCCTGTGAAGACTGAGGTAAAAAGACACTCAAAATTGCAGCCTTTTCCACATCATCTGTCACTAGTTTGCCTCCCCCATTCAGTAAGGGACCCACATTTTCCCGGATCTTCCTCTTGTTGCTAACCTACTTGTAGAAACCCTTCATGTCCCTTGTTAGCTGCAACTCCAATTGTACTTTGGCCTTCCTGATTTCATCCCTGCATGTCCAAGCAATACCCTTATACTCCTCACTAGTTGTTTCTCCAAATTTCCACTTCTTGTAAGCTTCCTTTTTGTGTTTTAGCTTACTGAAGAGTTCTGGTCTTCTGCATACAATAAATCAGCCAATTAATAGTGACAAGTGGAGAGAGAACTTGAGATAGTCTGCATAGCTAATCACCAAGTCAGATTCCACATTGCAGTGGTTTTTAGTCCTTTCCTCCCTCCTTCCTTCTCCCACCTTAAGTACCTGGGAGTCTTCTCTCATTTAGCAATAGGGGGGAGTGGCACAATGGTAGCAGCATTTTGGCACTTGTTTACAGTCCCCACATTAACAGCCTGTGCAGTACTGAATCCAAAAAGATGCCTGAATTCAATATTTTTGTCTTGAAGTATCCAGTGAACAAAAAAGTCAGTAAATCTGTAAATCTCCCTTAGTAGGTGAAGTATGCCTTTACATACTTAAAGAAGAAATTTCTACCTAGCCCCAGGCTTGTTTGCTTAAACATTCTTACCTTGTAAATTTTTATTCTTGCCAGTGTAACTCATGATGATATTCATACAAAAGTCTAATGTCTTCCACTAGCGTAGAGATCTCAATTAAAAAAAAGCCTTCAGATTTTCCAGATCATTTTAAGATAGAACTGTTTTGACATTTCTTTGGTAATTAAGTACCAAGATCTGGCTATTGTTATGCATAAAGCATCAGTTTTGGAATAGTAAAATGCTAATTATCTTAAGTAATATTTGGATGATTTTTATCAGATGGAAAATGCAATGGTGATTTGATTTTACTTGTATAAAGATTCCAGTTTCAGATATTCCACTTGCCAAAGCAACTTGACAGGTCAAATATTATTTTCTATTACAATGAATCATAGCACTTTTGGAATTCATTGCAAGATTTTGATTACTTCCTTGTTTGGATGCATATGTACCTAATTCACAGAGATCACACTACCTTTGCCTTCTTGTTTATTTTGTTTAACTGATGAAAGATAATTCAATAATTTAGTTTTCTGTTTAACAGAGAAGTTAGCTGACCTGCAAAGTATGTTACAGGACCATCTTTTTTCCTTGGCCTGGGGGGAGGTTAGAGGGTAACTGCAGGCTGAGTCTAGTGGCACTTTTGTTTCCAAGGTTTACCTACCTAACTTTTTTGTTTTGCCTTGTAAACTAGAACTTTCAGACCCTTCTGCAAATCTAAGAGGGAAACCCATTAGCTTACAAACAAATGTGTTGTTTGGGCATCTTTTCCCATTGTATTGATTGGGAAGAGCAGCTACCAATGCTTCTGTTTCTGCTTGGGAACAGGTGTGCAAAGAGTTGTTGCTCCCACTAGAAGAAGAGTTACTACTTGCTATCAGCCTACTTCTCCACTACCACTGCCCCATCTCCTGCTCTGGAAAGGTTAACAATCTTTTCAGCTGTCCAAGGAAAGGGTGAAGGAGAACTTTGCAAATGGTGGGACGACTAAAAGTATGCAGGGGGGCAGAGGAATACTTCGGAACAGGAAGTTTGACATTGGCATGAGTGGCAGAAGGTGCAGCTCATTCACATGGGCTATAATGGTATGGAATTAACATATGTAGGGCTGAAAACTGGCATCTATGAAATGAATGCATTTGGGCCTGGAGGACATAGAAATAATTCTTTTTTTTCCCCTGTTTGAACTGGTCAATGAGGCAAAACTTAATGGAAATGTCTAATTTTATGCAAATTATAATATACTTATTTTTGTCAGAAACTATTGGCAGATACAGATATATGTTGCTGCTGGGTCCCGTTATATGTTACTGGATGCTTATTTGGTCAGGAACATACAAGGTTCATTGAACGTGTTCATAAGTTGTTTGCTCAATGTTGCATTCATTTGGGTGGGTAAGGAAATTCAGTATTTCTTTTGCCATCAAGCCCAAATAAAATAGCAAATCTATTACAATGATGCTTTCTGTAAGTAAATTCCAGAGGTATGACAAAAAAGCTGTTTTTTTCCCTTTTAGCCATAACCTGCCATGGAAATCTTCCAAACAGTGATCTCTTTTACATTCCTTGATAACACTGGTTGACAAAAAACTTAGTTGGTTAGGATGTTTGTTGCTGTTGAGATGTATAGTACCCCAAAGGAGAAACAACTTAGATCTTAATAAATGCTTCATGGGGTAGGAATTCCTAACTGAATTAAAAATACATCTGAGCTGGGGTTTGTTTGTTTTTTTGATCGATATTAGAAAATAACTCCATCTCTGAACAAACTGTCTTCACAGCTTCCGCTGAGGCACAGGAGTTGCTAGCTCCTTTGAAGTAAGAAAAAAGGTGTCTGCATCTCCTACTACTGCTAATGGGAAGTTTTGATTTATCTGTGTGCTTAATGCAATTTATATTGAGCCCAGTGCAGAGAACCTTTTATGGTGCCCTCATGTTAATAAATGCTTGTCAGCTATAAAAGTGACAAGTATAGGATGTTCTGATGACTTCATAGGACTACTCACCAAAGCAAGCACAATGTCCAAGAACAGCTGTAGGATTTGGTTAAGACTTCTGTGCTTTACCTGAGGCTTAATCAGAGGTGTAGAGTAGACCCCCTGCACTGGGCAAGAATTTCATCTTGAGGCTCATATTTCTAATTTTCAGTTGATATGCATTGATTTTATTATTTACACACACACCCTAACACAGAGATGATTGTTTACATATTTATATTTAATGAAATTCCTACCTTAACACTGCTGCTAGTAGAATACTAGATGATTCTGCAGTGCTGGACATGGCTGGAAAGACTTTTTTTTTTCCCTCCTTCCTCCTCCTCCTCCTCATTAGCTCTATGGAGCCAGGAATCGCTGTTATCTACAGCTGATTTGGAGTAGCCCCAACAGGACTTCAAAAGAGAAACAGCTGGGGCTTCTAACATTGCTTCCACTCCAATAAGTAAGTGGGGTTTCTGATCACACAGCTGTTACTTATCTTAGTTTCTCAGTGTAATCATACCAGAGTTCAGAAAGGACTGTGGCTGTAGAGGAAAAGCAGTTGAGTTGTCTCAGAGACTCCTTTGATGATCTCTGTGAAGTGCTGCTGCTATCAGTCAAGATGGGAAAGTGAACGAGAGTTTTTGATGTTTAGAGCCTGCTGATGGAAAGGTTAGTCAGAACTATTTTGGATTAAGGATACTTTCCTTTTCCATTCCCACCCCTATGGATCAGAGAATAGAAAGTAATTACAAAAGAAACCTAAAAGTGTTTAGTTGCAAAGGATGGGAGGTAATATTTTATATTGGGTGTGGTTGGTGAAGATATTTTTCTTAGTTTCTCATCTCTTAAATGGTACTAATAACTTTCTTGCTCTTTGTTTTATTTGAATTGGACGTTCTTGAGGGCAGGGAAGACCACTTCCTGTGTATATGACCAAAGCCCTTAAGATGCTGCTGTGTTACTTTTTTTTTTTTTTTTTTTTAAATGAAGTGTTCTTAATTGTATTAATCTCTTTCACAACCTGCCTAGTCAGGTGTCCATTCTTTCTTAAATCCATTGTGTGATACTTTGCAGGGAATGGACTATACTCTTGGGCACATTGGCACTGTCCGTTTGAATGCATGATGAAATGTATATAGTGTAAGATAGAGGGGGCTAACCTTTTCAGTAGTGTGCCACAAATTATCCCTGCAGGCTCTACAAGTGCTATTCCAGTCCCCTTTGTCTGCCCAATCTACTGCTCTGTTTTCTGTTCTCTCCTCTGTGCTCCCTGCCTGAACTACTGCTCCTCTGCTTTCTGCTTTCTCCCTCTGCTGCTCTTCTCTACCGCCTCCCTCATCTGTTGTGTTCCATATACAGAGGCTGCATGTGCCACTTGGAGTAGTCTGACCACCCCTAGTGTAAAATGTCATTTTTCATTTCAAGATCAGTCAACACTGGAAGGGCAGTATAAACTCCAAGCCTCTTGAACACAATGTGGCAGTTCTGTTGCTGTTATTACTCCATGGGCTATTTGTACCAGGGATGATTAGCTGAGATCATCTAACTAACCACTGTTGGACAACTCCTTAAAGACTTAAATTAGCAAAGTGTATTGATAACTTTAAGTGTAAGTGGACATTCATATATAATCCTTCTACCGGGCACCAAATGTGTCTTAAACAGAAATTGAATGAGCAAACTCTCTGCCTGTTCTACCTGGATTGGAAACTTTTGAGTATTTGTAAAAGTGAATTTACATGCTATTTGGCTTACTACATTCTCCAAGGCTTTTATTGGGTGATGACTGAATGCTTTTTACAATGACAAGAAGCTTAATATCCCTTCCAGTGTGCTTGTCAAACTACTTGGCTAAATTGAGTAACATGTTTATAATTTAATTTGCTATATTGTAATATAGTTTTAAATCAGTTCTAGCATGGACTCCAGATGTGCAAAAATGCCACTGCTATTCAAATGCAACAAGAACATAGGAAAGAGATATTTGAAGTAACTTCCTCAATATTGACATGAAGACAAAACTAACCACTGTTGGACAACTCCTTAAAGACTTAAATTAGCAAAGTGTATTTCTAAATTCAAGGGGACATTCATATGTAATCCTTCTACCAGGCACCAAATGGCAGCAAAAAGGGTAGAGTCTACCTTAGGGCTTTTATCCAAATTGATTATCTTGGCTTCAGCCCCCACCCAGAAACCTGGGAAAATAACTTCTGCCTGGATATTCCAATATGAACAAACTTCTCCACTTGCGAGCAATATGCAACTATAACGGAGTTTATTAATGTGGAAAATGGAGATGGACAGACAATCAGATTTAAGAACCTCTTAAGCAGTAGCTCCCCTCAGCCCATTATGAACAGTTCAGCGCAGTCGGTAGGTTCAGAGCTCTCACTCAGTCGCACAGTAGGGTGGGCAGCGCAGTCAGTAGAGAATGCAGCTCTTAACCCAAGGTTTCCCTTGTCTTACTGCCGCTGGGCCCCTGCTTAGCAGGGGACCACTCTTTTCAGCCTTGAATGTCTTGGTGTGGTTGGAGGATGCTGGTCTGTCCCTTGCACTGCAGGTGAGCTGGCCCTTGAGAGCCTCCAAAAGCAAGGATCTCAGCTATGCAATTTATGGTGATGAGGGATTGCTCTCAGGCTTTCCCTCTAGCTTGCTCCTTTGGCCCTTTTGGCTAGGGGCAAGTGAGACTAGGGGGCATCTGAACTCCAAGACCTCTGGGCTTGGGGCTTGCACATAGGATGCTTGCCATGGATATAGGAATATCTTAAGTCCCAAGCTAAAGACTCTGGGGAAGGTAGGATACTTACCAGTGTTAGCACCACGCAGAGTTGAATGAGCACTGCTTAGTTGATGGAATTCAGAACTGATTTGCTTAATTTGGCCTGAGACAATTAAAAACAAAAAACGTTGCCAGGTGGTTTGGTTTTGTTTTGTCTTGGACCAAATCCGTTCCAAATGCTATAGACTGAGCAGAGCTCAGTGGTTCAAGTCTGTGTGGTGCTACCACTGGCAAGTAGCCTCCATCTCAGACTCTTCAGCTTGGGGCTTCAGATACTTCAAAATCCATGGTAGGCATGCGACGTGCGGGTCCCAAGCCTGGAGGTCTTGGATTTCAGATGCCCCCAAGTCTCATTTGCCCTTAGACAGCAAGCCAAAGAAGCATGTTAGGGAGAAATTGCCCATCTTTTTAAAAATAAAGCGTGTAGCTGAGATCCTACCATTGGGAGGAGGCTTCCACAGTGCATTGGACAAATTTCCACCCTTAACTACACAATGCCATTCAAGTTGATCTTGGCTTGGTGATCACGGTATTTCTTGATCTGAGTCAACTTTCGCTTACAGTAGTAGCCCCCTTAAGAGCGTTATAGTTTTAGGTTTGGGTGCTCTGGCCCTGCCTTCTAACTTCCCTGATCTCGTATTCAAAACATTAAAAGCAGTTAAAACAAGTCATCACAGTGAAAACTGGTAGAAAAGTGTTTCACCCCCTGACCCACGCATACCAATAGTGGATATCCATAAAGAGAGACAACCTCTCTGTGGGGCTTATTTGGATACTACCACTGGAATCCAGGACTGGATAATGGAGACTGTCATACAGGTACAATAGTAACAGGGTTACAGATGTATATTAAAGGATCATTGTTCTAAAATATAGATGAGACTCATGTTTTGGGGTTTCTAGCATAAACATTCAACAAGCATGTTTCTAGTAAATGAAAAATTCAATTTTTTTTTTTTTTTTAATTGAAGGCTAAAAGTTGAACCCTAATATTTAGTACCATTCCCACATTTAAGCCCTGGACTCTGTCTCATATACTCATAAGGTGTTTTTACATAGGGTGAAGGTCTCATGATGCCTGAGGCCCATAGCAAGATCCTTGGGTGACCACATTGGTTGCTGTATTTTTTTTCCAAGCAGTTTCTGCCGAAGTCACCAACAAGCTTTGAACAATGTCTCTTGTGCTTCTGATTGGATGATATACCAGTCACACCCCTGAGGTTGAACTGAATGATGAGAGAAGTAGTAGTTTTCAGCCCATGTTGTAGTTTGGACCAGAAACAGACTCCCTGTGAGGAAGGCAGAGCTTTGAAGAGAATTGCATGATTCCTAAACTTAAGTAGAAAAAGTTGTTAAACTAGGTTTTTATGATCATCAGGCTGCTTTGGCCAAACAGCATATAGTAGAGCTGTATTTTTAAGACCTTGTTTGTAACATCTAATTTTGCAACTTTTAAAACATAATTATTTTTTTTTATTAGTACTGTGAGAAGATAAAATAGATTCTTCTGACTTAAATATGTCCATTGGAATTGCTTTGTGTAGCCACCAATCAACTTGTCTGGTGAATGCTAACCTAGTCTGCTTTGGAATCAGTATGCTGGGTGTGTGCTGTTTATCGGTATCCTAGATGTACGACTCTATGCCATTACCAGTCTGTTTACTTGCAATAGGAGGACTAAATAGCTATTTGCATCTCAAATGCATGTTATCCCCATAAATGGGCATTAAGGATGCTCAGCACAAATAAGATCAAGCTGTTTGCAAGCTGTATGTTTTGGGTGAGAATTTGAACCTCTTAGTTCTGATATTTGATCAGAGTAGTTAAGGAAGGATGCAAAGTTCACTCTGTCTCCCACCTCCTTCCCAGGTCCAAGCAGGCTTTCGGCGGGGAAAGGAACTTTATGACTAAAAATTTCCACTAAAAAAATAGGGCTAGGAGTTTAAATTGGCCCAAAAAGTGATAGTGTATAATGCACTGAATAGTTTATACAGTTGCCTTGCAGCTGTTGAATGTTTGATCACTATGAATTCAGATGGGATTTTTCGGTTTTGAACAGTTTACAAGGCAAGAGGTGTGGATCTTAAATTTCATGGAATGGCAAAATTTCCTTAAGCCTCATAATGTTTATGTATGAGTGTCTAGTTGGAGACTGAAGTATTGATTTCAAACTTGGATATTCTTTTTCAGAAAGGCAAATATTTCTCTTAAGATATCAGAACAGGATTCGTTCCAGGTGCTGGAATGATCTCATGAATTTTATTATCGTGTGCTTTATTACCATTCTGTGCTTGTTTTGGGCATAACTAGAATTTACCTGTACTTTTAAGAACTTTGGAAACCAGGTCAAGGTAACTTTCTGTTTTTAAGTTACCTTTGTACTTGTTCTATAGCAACAAAGGATTCTGTGTATTATTTTTTTAATTAATTTTATCTTCTCACTTTGATTCTCATCCACTTGCTGTTCCAGTTTATGCATCGTTATATTCCGTGACTATGGAAACCAACTATGATAAATATACAAATAGTAATTATAAAAAAAATGGGAAATAATTGTGTTCTCAGCAGTACCAAATCAGCACAACATTTTTCTGTTTCAGCTGGGTTGAAGATGACAAATTAAACTACAACTACTTTGTAGTACTCATTACACATTGCAAGCAGAATTTTTAAAAATAAATGACAGCTATGGAAATGTCACACAAGTTACTCCAATTTCTTAAGGGACAACACTGGTTTTGATGCAAGCATCCTTTGTAAAGAACAGGGAAAGAAAAGTTCAGCGATGACATGAAATATGAACAGAATTTTGTGATGGTGGCAGCTATGTAGCTTGGTAACAGATTAACTACTATAAATGTACCAACTGCTGATAATTTTATAAATG